ATCAAACACATCGACGTGAGATATCACTGGATTCGAAAAATGGTAGAGAATGAATCTCTAAAAGTGTTGAAGATTTCTACAAGTGAGAATCCCGCAGATATGCTGACCAAGGTGGTACCAAGAGATAAGTTCGAGCTATGTAAAGAACTTTTCGACATGCACTCAAACTAGAAGACAATGCTATCTCTTCTAGATGAATGAGACTGGAGGGAAAAATTGATGGGGTCCATCTCATTCAATTATCAAAGTAATAGGCATATGCCTAAGGAAAATTTCTTTGATTTGGTAGCCAACTTTGTTGAATTTCTGTAGTTTGGTAGCCAACTTTGTTGAATTGTCAACATTGAAGAAAAAGAAGGAAAAGTATATGTAAATTGTCAAATATAGTAGGCTTTAGAGAGTGAGGCTTCGGCTATAAAAGGAGAGCTTCAACTCTCATTTCTACACACCAACAAAGAGAGAAAGAAAGAGTGAGGTTTCACACATAATGTATAGGAAAATAGTCTGTGAGAAAAATAAAGAGTGAGCGATATTGTAGTGAGGTGGAAATATCAAAAGAGAATTATTTCTTTTGAGTGTTGTAGTAGTCTTTGGAGTATTTTACTCGGACCTACAAAGTATAAAATTCCTTGCTATAGTGATATCAGTTGCTCGTCTCGGGGCCGTGGTTTTTTCTCTTATTCAAAAGGGTTTTCCACGTAAAAAGCTTGGTGTCGTTGTCACTCTTTTATTCTTGTTAATTACCGTATCTCGGTGCTACGTTATTATTCCGCTTTTATTACCGTGAATATTATTTCTGTAGGGCGTTTATTTCCAACAGTTCCATCCTTTGATTTTTATTAAGAAGGGACAAACTCAACAATGTAATCTGTCACAAATAAAAGAGCGTCCATTTCTTTTCTCCACCTTGCTTTCCTCTCTTGAGACATTGGCTCCAATTTCCATTGTTCTCCAAAAACTGAAGCTGCAAGATAGGTAATGGCATTTGATAATGCAAGAGTTGAGGAAACACCTTTTCCTCCTCCTGACATATCCTCTCCCAATAGCAACTTAGCAAACCTTTCTTTCATCATATCCATATCTACATCAAGAATAAACTACGTTTAACTTTGCTAGATGCCTCATATGTTGTATAGACAATTAAATGACTTGAAATCAAGGATCATAGGAAGATCAAGGTAAAATATACTCTGTGTAGAGACATACTACATAATTAAGTAATTAAAATGTATTTTCTCTGACAGCTTAACCTTTTAGATGAGATGATCACATAATTTATCATGATACTAGAGATGCAGAAGTTTTGAATTTAAATTTCACTGCCACCTAAAAGATACTTTCAACTGTGTGGCGCATGAAAAAATTGAATTATGCCCAAGCGGCATATCAAGACATAATATCATTAAGTAATTAAATGTTCGTTCTCTCTAGAAGTTTAATTTTTTAGATGAGAATTGGGGGTGTGTTTGGTATGAAGGAAAATGTTTTCCATGGAAATATTTTCCTAGAAAATGTTTTCATGGAAAATGAGTGGTTTTATTACTTTTTTTCCCTTGTTTGGTTGGTGAATGAAAAAAAATTTTCGGAAAATATTTTCTAGTGTTTGGTTAGAGAGTAGAAAATATTATTTTAGTAAAATATTTTTTTATGTTACTCTGCTCACTCAAGGGTGGGAGTGGAGTGTGGGGTGGGTTGGTGAGGGTTGGTAGGGATGAGAAATAAGGTGGGAAGGTTGACAAGGAGTTTTTGAAAATATTTTTCCTTCACGGAAATGTTGTTTATCTTTTTGGAGTTTCCCTCACCTTCCTCCATGTTGTCTGCTTGTCTTCCGGGGATCTCAAGTCTCAACCATGATTTCTCTAATCGTTTTTGTTTTAATCGTGCTTTATTCTTTAACAATCTTACAGATGATCTTTACCTGCATTAACTTGTCCCTACACACCAACATTGTCGCGAGGGTGATCTATTTGAAAGGGAATAACAATTTTTGCTAAGAATGAGAAAACGAAAATGGAAGGAAAACCCCTTTTGGTCTATAGAGAACCTAATAATGGTAATCTTGATGAATGGCAAAAAGGTTTTATCTTATTTTCCTCAACAGGATGAACAAGAAGGAATGGAGATCGTTTCTTGATGAAATTACTATGCTAATGAGATTTTGGAACGTGGGGTGAATCTTTGATGAAGGGGAAGGGAAGGGAAAGGTTATTTCTCGACTTGTTTTGACGGTTGAATTTTCAGCAGTACCAAAAAGACCGGGAAAGCATCCAAAAAGTAAACTAACTTTTCTCTAGATTCTCCTTTTTCTACTTCACTCTTCTCGATTTGTTTTTGCTTACAAATTTAAGCATATATTTCTTATATAGAAACATCCATATCTGATATAGTGTACAACACACACATACTTTTTTTGCAGGTACTGAACAACTTTTAAATCCTTTCGATAAATAGTTTGACATTCATGAACATTTTGCAAGTTCACATGTATTATATACTTTGTAATGTTAACTATTTCATCCTATTAATGTCACGATCCAAATCTCACTTTAATCGTGATGACACCTAACATAACCAGATAGGAGAACCAACGAACAACAATGAGATACAAGACAATATATAATAAAATCTAACAACCATAAAGTGTATAATAGAACAATAATAAGTCTATTACAACGTGAATAACCATAGTACCCCTAGGAACTGGTGTCACTAGGTCATGAGCTACTACAACTGAATAATACATATGTATAAATAAGCGCATCATTGTTCGAAACAAGAAACAATAATAGCATATTAAGAAACAAGGTAATGCAATCCAATATAAATAGCTCGCCTCGATAATCAAGGACGGCTCCTCAGTGCCCTCCTATAAGTACCACTTGTATGGGGTGTAATTGGTTGATAACAGGTAGTTAAATGATGAGGTGACACATGAAATCGAAAACAGGCAAAAGATGAGTCAGCAAATAACTGACACCGGGTACGTAGTGTGTAACCGGTAATGGATGGATCCCGAAGGAAGTATAACCGATAATAGAGGTTCAAAGGTTTGACATTGGATAGCATTTAATAAGAAGTCGTTACAGAGAATATCTGCATTCAAAGTCAGCCGTTATGCACCCATCAATGGCATTTTTATTCTCATTCAAGAGGAGCTTAATTTTAGGATCTTGTTCCCCTAAGTAGGGGCTATAAATTGCAAGATTAACAACCATTGTAGGACATGAAATATTCTGCACACAAAAGCAAAAATCTACTATTTTACGCTCGATCTAAACAGTTTTATCATTGATTTTACTTTCGCTCTCGGAAAGACTAAGTTCAGAGTCAGGCTTGTCATCTCCTTTAATTTCAGCCGTTAATTTTATTTTTGTCCCTATCTCTTTATTATTTTTGGATCAAGTTGATTCACTTGTCTATAAACTACGCTATAAATTAAACTATATCGTTTTACGGGTAAATAGTTTGGAGCCCACCGTGGGGCATAAACAGCTGCATAATTGCTTTGGTCCATTCATCTATTACTAACAAAGTTTTGACTTTCCTTAGTTAAAATCAAACATGGCAACTAATGATGTCAACAACGCTTATAACGTTAGAGCACACGATGAATGGGAATAGGCATCCCAGAGTGATGACTCAATTAGCGAGACCTGCAACGAAGGGGTTGAAACAACCCCGGTTCATGATGGTCAGTACCCTCAGCACGCGCAGGGTCCAACTCCTGATGATGCGGAGGATGAACACGTTATTGGAACAGACAAACTCCTGAGAGAACAACAAAGAGCAATCATGGATCACCTCTCAAGGAAAGATCGGGTGATGACAGAATTAAAGCAAGCTTTGTTTGGTGCTCCCAATAATGCCAATGGAAGAGCTCTGGTTCCTCCCAACGTTCTCGCAAATTAGGCGGATCAAAGAACTGATGACCACACTCCAAGGGATGAAGTCGATTTCGATGAAGCGGGGGTAGCGGAAGTGGATCTGGGAATAACAACTTGAATGATCCTTTCAAAACCAAGCTCATAAGATTCATGAGAGAGATGAATGAATGAATGAATGGACAGAACGCAAAAAGAGTTTCATGCGTGGATGGATTAGATTCTAGGAGCGCCATAGGTATTAAAGGGTCCAAATTCAAAAAAGTATACGTAGTTGCCATTTAAACCAAGTGCGGCACCAGAGTTGATCCTGAAGAGGTTCAAAATGTTAGATATACCGAAGTATGATAGGACGTCGGATCCACAAGAGCACACCACAACCTACACAACAGCAGTGAAAGGAAAAGACTTGGCCTAGCATGTGATCGAGTCGGTTTTGTTGAAGAAGTTTGGCGAAACCCTCATGAAGGGGCCCCTGACATGGTATTCCCTTTAACTGAACATTTAATCGATTCTTTTGAAATGCTTGCAGATTCATTCATCAAAGCCCACGCTGGAGCAAGAAAGGTCCATGCCAGAAAGGCAGATATCTTCAGGATTTCATAAAGAGAATTCGAGTTTCTGCGGGAATTCGTAATCTGGTTCCAAAAGGAAAGAATGCTGCTACTAGCAGTTTTGGATGAGTGGGCAGCGGAGACATTCACGAAGGGTCTAAATCCACTAAGTTCTGATGCCTCCCGAAAACATAAGGAGAGCTTGCTTGAGTTCCAGGAAACCACATGGGAAGATGTCCATAATCGCTATGAGTCGAAGAAAATAGAGGACGATCAACTTGGTTCTTCAGTGGCATCCAAGGGACGGGGTCGCGATAAAAATCATGATAAGTTTAAAAATGACTTTGATGAAGATTGAAGGTCCTCTAGGGGTCGTTTCCTACCGTAGAAGAGGACCGATGGTCGTAGTAGTAAAGGAATTCAGTCGTCAGATAGGTTTGCTTCAAACAGAAGGACGGATCATGGCCGAAATAACATATTGTTGCAAGAAAAGAAGGTGCCAGGATCCCGAGATCCCGCATATCCCAGGTTATCTGATTACAACTTTAACATCAGCCAAGTAAAAATGGTGTTGGTGATGAGGAATATCAAAGAAGCACGGTTTCCGAAACCAATCCAATCGGACGCTAGCCAAAGTGATCCTAATTTGTGGTGTGAATTTCATGCGACCCACGGCCATAGAACTGGGGACTGCCGACATCTTAGCGAGGAGGTGGCGACATTGCTGAAGAATGGCCATCTTAGAGAGTTCTTAAGTGACCGCGCCAAAGAAAATTATGGTAGAAGCCGGGACAATGCGGAACCATCAAAAATGGCAGCAGGGTCATCTTGGATGACAATCAACATGATCTTCGGAGGGAGTGAGGTCAATGGAGTGACATTTTCGGCAACAAAAAAGACAAAAATATCAGTGACACATGGCAAGAGGATTCGGGAAGTCTTGGAAGATGGTATCACCTTCACAGAAGGAGATGCTGATGGACTTCTCCTACCGCACAATGACGAGCTAATAATTTCACTTAATGTCTTAGATTTTAAAATTAAGCGTGGTTTGGTCAATCCAGGGAGTTCAGCCAATATCATAAAATAGAGGGTCCTGGAACAAGTGAAGTTGATCGGGAACTTCATTCAGGCAACAAAACTTCCAGTCGGCTTCAACCTAACTAGTATCACAACCCGAGGATAAATTTTGCTACCCATGCGCGTCGAAGGGGTAATGAAGACCACTTTATTCGAAGTGGTAGATGGCGACATGGTCTATAATATGATCCTCGGAAGGTCGTGGATACATGAGATATAGGCTGTGCCCTCAACCTATCACCAATTATTGAAGTTTCTGACACCGGAAGGGATCAAATAGATAAGAAGAGACCAACCACTGGCAAGGGAGATGAACGTTGTATTCATTTCCAGCAGCAAGGACAGAGAATCCAACAAATAGCAATTACAGAAATCGATGCCTTCTCCCATCCCAATCGAGGATGACCAAAAGGAGGAGTTATTAGAATTATATCAGGTACCAAAATCTTTTCAGGTACCAGAGGAGACAGATGCAACTAAATCAACCACGGAAGAGCTCGAGCAAGTGGCCTGATACAATGAGGTTTAGAAGACACGAATACAACGAGGCATGATAACAAAATAAATCCCATAATAGTCTAAAAGCCACCTCAAATCATGAATACTCAGGTGCACTCACACACGCCCGTCACCTAGCGCGTGTGTCACCCCAATACATGTCATATAACATAGATCCCTAGGCTTAATTACCCTCAAATTCAAGCTTAGATATGTTACTTACCTCAAAACATGAAGATTAATACTCCTAAATGCCCTTGCCACGCGAATCGGCCTCCGAACGACTAGAATCTAGTAAAAGCAACGCAATATCATCAATAAAATCCATCGAAAATAATTCCAAATGATAAAGCTACATTCTTGAATCAAATATGCAAAGTCAACCAAAGAAGCCAACCCCGGACTCGCACCCCCAACCCAACCAAACTCACAAATTTCGAACACACATTCCATTACGAGTTTAAATATATGTGTTTCATCCAATTTCACCCACAAATCTACCCTTAATTATTAAATCTTACTCTCCAATAACATAGTCTAAAATCCCCAAATTTAACCTTAAATTCACATAAACTAGGTGTAATAATCAATGGGTAATCAATATCTATCATCAAAATTGAATAAACTTCACTTACCTCTTCAATTGCAGCAAAACGTCTCCAAAAAATCGCCCTTAGCTGAGCTCCAAAGCTAACAAAATGAGAAAACAATCAAACCCTCCGAATATATGAAGTCTGCCAGTGATTCTGAATATGCGGTCACTTAATTGCATCTGCGTTTCCGCATTTGCGGTCTCAAGCTCGCATTTGCGAGTCCCTCCTAGCCTCCGACCTTACACATTTGCGGACCATTACGTGCATCTACACATTCGCATATGTGGCTCCCCGTCCACGTCTACGGACCTAGCTTCAATCCACTTATACGATTAATGGGTCGCTTCTGCGGCCTCACACCTGTGGCCAATCCCTCACGGGTACAAATGCATCAGAACTCGAAAACTTCAGCAACTCATCAAAGTCTAGAAATAATCCTTCAACGATCTGAAACACACGAGTGGCCCCCGGGACCCATTTCAAATATACCAACATGTCCTAAAACACAATACGAACTTACTCGAAGTCTAAAATTAGATAAAATAATATCAAAACCACGAATCGTACCTCAATTCAAGCCTAATAAAATTAATGAACTTCTAACTTCCGAAACTCATGCTGAATCACATCAAACCAATATGGAAATTACCTCAGATTTTGCACACAAGTCTCAAATGACACAACGATCATATACCAACTTCCGGAACTAAAATTTGAACTCAATATCAATAAAGTCAACTCTCTGTCATACCTCTCAACCTTCTAAATCTCCAACTTTCGCCAAAAAATACCAAACGAGCCTACGGACCTCCAAATTCAAATCCAGATACACGCCTAAGTCCAAAATCACCATACGAAATTATTGAAATCATCAAAACACCATTCTGGAGTCATCTATATAAAAGTCAAACTCCGGTCAACTCTTTCAACTTAAGCTTCTAACCTTGGGACTAAATGTTCCAATTCGTTCCGAAACTTCCCCGAAACCAAACCAACCACCCGGCAAGTCACATAACTACAAATACATATATGTAAAGTATCAAATAAGGGAAACGGAGCTGAAATATTCAAAACGACCGGCCGGATCGTTACAATAATCTGCTTTGTAAAATTTCATGGTCTGTTAGGCGGTTGCTTCTATTGTGACTTTTCAATTCCCCTCATCTCATTGCGTCTCATCTCTTCTTCGTCTTCGAGTAGATACTTAACTAATGTTGTTCACTTCACATTGTACTTTCGTATTGATTAAAAACTTCTATAAAAATCTAACATTACTAATGGTAAGTAGTGTCTTCAGGCAAACTACTGAGATTTTCTATACTTTTTACATATAGAAAATCCTTTAATTTACATTAGTGATGTGTTGACTGAAAAAGGGCATTTGTCTGGAAAGTCATTTTTATTCGAATGGGCATGACTACGTCTTCATTCTTTCTTTTTTTTTTTGGAGAAAGACTACGTCTTCATTCGCAATTTACGTTTCTAAAAGAAGTACTCAATGTAGAAATGTGTAACCAAGTTTCTAGAAAGAGTACATTTTTATTTGATTATTTCTTTGAGAAGAATTAACCCAATTAGCCGCCCACCCAATCGCATAAACTAAAAATAACCAATGGATATATAATATATGTACAATCCATATATAATACGTGTATAATCTTATATAATTAGTGTATAATTTATGTATTCGGTTAGAATAAAAGTAAATATTGAATTTGGCCGGCTATTTATGTAAAAATCCATTTCTTTAATATACTCACTTATGTGCAGGCCTGATTTTTTTATGGGCCAAGTGCATGAAATTTTATGGGTGGTAGTGAGATTCGAATCCACGGCCTCTACTACCTACTCTAATATCATATTAATGTATGTGGTCATCTCATCTAAAAGCTTAAATTGGTATAGAGTACACACTTTTACTTTATTATCTTTTCAACACTCAAATATATACTCTAACCATAACATGCTTTAGAAACCATCTTTCGACCTTGTTTCTATTATGATTCTCCAAATTAATGCGCCCCTCTATCCAGTGGCGGAGGTGGGATCTCCGTGAAGAGGTTCAAAAAAAAAAGTTAAAAATAAATGTAGCTATAGTGAAAATTGAACCTATGACCTTATAAAGGTTTTGAACCCCCTTGACCACTAAGCTATACTTTTGAGTTGATGTAAGGAGTGTAAATGGCATTTTCCTAAATATTCATGTTTATTTGGATGTGCACGACCATATTCTATTTGCAACTTTGATCTCGAAGTGTTTACCCTCAAAATTGGATAATAATTAAACTTATAATGTGGATTTAAGGATACGTGATTTCACTTAATACCAATTGATAAATTTGAAGATTAAAGATAGAATTGAACTATAAGGAAAATCAAACCAGTGTTTGAATAGGACTCAGCCTTGAGTTGGAGTACCCTCGAACTGGTTGATGCAAGGATAATAAAATACAATAAGCTGAAGAACAAGAGTGTGAGCGAGAAAGAAAATTATATTGCTTTTGTCTCAGTTGTGCCTACAAATGGTTAGAACCCCTCTTTATATAGTAGAGGAATTCTATATATGGTACAATTCTAATTACAGAAGGAAATCTCATGATTAACTAAACAACCGTTCTTGATTCGATCCGTTCTGAGATTTTCGCCCTGATCTTCGACCAGTCGCGGATATCTCGCTTTTCTGTTATTACGCTATCTTCGGTATTACTCGATGCATGTCTCGTTTGGTCTTGATTGCTGTTGGCCTCAATCTTGGCAGGTGCCTCGAATCTCGATCTCGGTACCTTGTCTTCGGGCCTCGATCCGATCTACTCGGAGTCGTCCTTCGATGCAAACTCCCGGTCTCGATTAAATAGTAAAATCAGTTGGGCCCGGTTTTAACCGTATACAGATAGTCCCCTCGTTTTTTTGGAGTGTAATGACAAGAAATGAATTGAGCCTTCGATTTTCTACCTCGACATGTCATGATGTCATCCTTGTGAGGAAAGCGATGGAAGTGACTGAAATTTCCCGTCTATACAGTTTCCTAGGCATGAAATGCGCGTCAGTCGATGGTCGGCCACCGCCAATATTGAACCGTCATTGTGAAATTTATAAATAGACCATCTCTCCACCATTGCAAAATTTTACTTTTAGATTCTTAATCTCCAAAGCTTTTTATATCTTCTAACTTCTTTATCTGCAAATCCACGATTTTTACTGCTACCATCTTCTCAAAACACCAAATATTATCATCTTTATCTATTTTTAACTTCAAATCCATACAAAAATGGCAAAAACATCAAAGACTATTCCTCAAAAGGAAAACGCTTCTTCATCGCGGCCGGCCGGCGATAAAACATCGGTGGAGCCACGACTGAAGAGTGTGTTCCTGGTCGATGTGATCCAGTGTCGAGGTACATATGCTCGATAACTGAAGGGTACCTTAAGCAGGTAAGGAAAGACTGCAACTGGAAAGGTAACATCCTTTTCTGACGATATCGAGGATCTGATACTGTCCCTCCCAATTTGGGCCGAGTTTTCCTTCGTTTGGGTCTCGAGTATTGAGGGTGACCTTTCTTAGTACTATGTCCCCGGTTCTAAAATGTCGAAAATTGGCTCTTCGGTTGTAGTACCTTTCGATCCGTTGCTTCTTTGCGGCCATTCGAACGAGGGCACTTTCCCATTTTTTATCTAGCAATTCGAGACTTGTATTCATAGCCTCGTGATTCGATTCTTCTATTGCATATCGAAACCTGACGCTAGGTTCCCCGACTTCGACCGGGATTAGAGCTTCGGCGCCATATACTAAAGAGAATGGTGTTAACCCCGTACTGGATTTTGACGTCGTTCGACCTTTTATTTAAATTTTGAATGATGGTTTTGTTCGTTGATTATGCCTGTCCGTTCCCACTGGGCTGATATGGCATTGACCAGATCC